AGACAGCAATATGGTCCTCCTAGAACACCATTATTACGCTTTATTAGGTGAACCCGGCTCAGCTTACGACAGTAAATTTGGAAAATTTGTTGTGCAGGAGGATACTTACACTACTGAACATTACAACGTATTTCATGTACCCTCCCATATGGCGAGTTAGTTCCCATTGTATGCTGCCATGATAGACCAGGAAAACGGAAAATTGTATACGCACCTTTCCATAATTTTCCTTTCCTGGTGCATCTTTATGGCAGATACAAATTCCCACCCAAATGGTGAGAGTTACAGAGATGCTGTTAGCCAGGTCAGTCTTTGATTTATAGTTAACCAGTCTTATCAGGTTGTGGGGGCAGAGACTCAACCCATTGTATGCTGCCATGAAGATGCACCAGGAAAAGAAAATTACAGAAAGGTGTGTATTTAATTTTTGTTTTTTTTTCAACAGAGGGCTTGTAGGTACACATTATATTTAAATTTTGAAAATATTGTGAGGGAAGGGTAAAGAAGAAAAGGATACAAATAATAAAATGCACTTATAATTTTAAGGAAGTATAAAACATTTATTCATAGCTTATTATTCACACTCTTTTAACTGTTAATGACCATGAGATACAAATATACAACTATGGGCTTTCTGCTTCATTCACATATTGTCATTACAATGGGATAAAGCAGAGCTATGGTTTAAAAAAAAAAAAAAAAAATATAATATATATCGAGAGGCTTGTTTCTAAACAAAAAAATGGCAGCATTTAATGATAGCAAATAGCATATTTAAAAAAATTGAAATCTCACCTTCCAATGTTTAATTTGTTTTCTAATGATTTTTATTGTTACAACAAATAAATCATTACAATTATTAGGATAAAACAAGTTTGTATTAGAAAGCATTAACTTACGGCAGCACAGTGGCTAAATGGTTAGCACTTCTGCCTGGCAGTACTAAGGTTGTTGGTTCCAATCCCAACCACGGCACCACCTGCCTGGAGTTTGCATGTTCTCCCTGTGCCTGTGTGGGTTTCCTCCAGTTTCCTCCCACACTCCAAATACATGCTAGTAGATTAATTGGCTCCTGCCAAACGTGGCCCTCATATGTGTATGTATGAATGTGAGTTAGGGACCTTAGATTGTACACCCCTTGAGGGTTAGGGACTGATGTGAATGCACAATACATATGTAAAGTGCTGTGCAAATTGATACCTAAAATAAAACAACTTATTCTGGAAGGAGAATCGGATAAGCCCCAGTGGGATAATTCTAATATCAAGCTCAAAATGTAAAGGTATAGTGGTCATAACCTGTTATGTAACTTTTCATTAGCTTCCCAATCCAACAATTTGTTTAAATCCTAACTATAGGTAAAATAAAAACCAGAAAAATTCAGCACAAGGGACATAACTTACAGCCAGGAGGATGTGTCCCTTATGCTGATTCCTCTTCTGTTAGTAGAAATCCTCCTCCATTCATGTCCACCAACCCCATATAAGGGTCTGTCATCGGCTCTCATCAAGACAGCCTGATTATGACCGCCCTTTTCATCCAGCTGCTCTGTTCATAGAAGTATTATTACAGCTTTTATGAGTGAAAAACTCTATATGAATGTAGGGGTGGGCCTTTCAGGCATCAGCCCCCTCCATTCATAGATCCAGTTTCATTCATAGAAGCTGTAGTACAGCATGAATGAAGGAGCAGCTGGGTGGAAAGGCTCTGGCATTGCCGGGCTTTCTTGATGAGTGCCTGCGATAACCCGTTAGATGTAGTATCCCTGCCACACCAAAAGATTACAATGGCAGAGGTGGGGGAGCATTAACATTAGAGGTAATGAGTTCAAATTCGAAATGGAAACATGTTGCAATAAATACAGTAAGGTATTAAAGTGAAATATGATGATGATTCCTAAATAGGCTGCTAATTAGAATAGAATAAAGCAAAAAAATAAAAAAAAAAATAAAGCAATAGAAGAAGAATAGAATAAAACATAATAGAATAGAAGAATAGAATGAATGATATAACTTCCGAAATTCGAATTTCAATTTGAAAATAATTAATATATGGAACTTAACAAACGAATCCTGAAAGGAAACAAATTATTCCTTGATGCACATCTGTAAAATCAACCCCACGGTGTAAAACTTTAAATGGAAAGGGCCAGCACTCCAAAAGTAGTAGATATCAAATTTCTACTGAGAGTTTAGTAGAAAAACAAAGTTTATGCACTAAGAAAAACTCCACCATGCTATTTTGCTTTACTGCATAAGCTATGTTTTGCTACTGCTAAGGTTAGCACTTCCGCCTGGCAGTACTAAACTCGTTGGTTCGAATCCCAACCACGGCACCACCTGCCTGGAGTTTGCATGTTCTCCCTGTGCCTGCATGAGTTTCCTCTTACACTCCAAAGACATGCTGGTAGGTTAATTGGATCCTGTCTAAATTAGCCCTAAAATATGTATGTAAGAATGTAAGTTAAGGACCTTAGACTGTATGCCCCTTGAGGGTTAGGGACTGATATGAATGTACAATATATATATATATGTAAAGCGCTGCGTTAAATTGACGTCGCTACATACAGTTGCAAGAAAAAGTATGTGAACCCCTTGGGATTACGTGGAGTTTTGCAGGAATTGGGCATAAAATGTGCTCTGAACGTCATCTAAATCACAACAATAGAAGAACACAGTCTGCTGAACATAATACTACACAAACATTAGATGTTGCCATGGTTTACTTGCACATAACATGTAAACATTCACAGTGCAGGGAGGAAAAAGTATGTGAACCTTTGGACTTAATAACTGGTTGACCCTCCTTTGGCCGCAATAACCCCAACCAAACGTTTCCTGTAGTTGCAGATCAGACCTGCACAACGATCTGGAGTAATTTTGGACCACTCCTCTTCACAAAACTGTTTCAGTGTAGCAATATTCTTGGGATGTCTGGTGTGAATCGCTCTCTTAAGGTCATGCCACAGCATTTCAATCGAGTTGAGGTCAGGACTCTGACTGGGCCATTCCAGAAGGCGTATTCTGTGCTGTTGCAGCCATTGTTTTGTTGAATTACTTGTATGCTTTGGGTCATTGTCCTGTTGCATCACCCATCCTCTGCGGAGCTTCAGTTGGCGGACAGATGATCGTACGTTTTCCTGCAAAATGTCTTGATAAACTCTGGAATTAATTTTCCCATCAATGACAACAATCCGTCCAGGCCCTGAGGCAGCAAAGCAGCCCCAAACCATGATGCTTCCTCCGCCATGTTTTACAGTGGGGATGAGGTTTTGATGTTGGTGTGCTGTGCCTTTTTTTCCACACATAGTGTTGTGTGTTCTTCCCAAACAACTCAATCTTGGTTTCATCTGTCCACAGTATATTTTGCCGGTAGTGCTGTGGAACATCCAGGTGCTCTTTTGCAAACTTCAAACGTGCTGCAATATTCTTTTTGGACAGCAATGGCTTCCTCCGTGGTGTCCTCCCATGTACTCCATTCTTGTTTAATGTTTTCCTTATTGTAGATGTGTCAACAAAAATGTTAGCATGTGCCAGAGATTTCTGTAGGTCTTTTAACTGACACTCTGGGATTCTTCTTTACCTCATGCAGCATTCTGCGCTGTGCTCTTGCAGTCATTTTTACAGGACGACCACGCCTAGGGAGAATAGCAACAGTGCTAAACTTTCTCCATTTGTAGACAGTCTGTCTTATCGTGGACACATGAACATCAAGGCTTTTGGAGATACTTTTGTAACCCTTTCCAGCTTCATGCAAGTCAACAATTCTTGATCGTAGGTCTTCTGAGAGCTCTTTTCTGCGAGGCATCGTTCACATCAGACAGTGCTTCTTGAAACCAGTAAACCCAAAACAGGTGTGTGTGTTTTTTAAGGGCAGGACAGCTGTCAGCAACACAGCCAATATCATCACACTGATTGGAGTCAAGGTTGGCTCACTCCTGGCTCCAATTAGCTCTGGGAGAAGTCATTAAGCTAGGGCCTCACATACTTTTTCCTCCCTGCACTGTGAATGTTTACATGTTATGTGCAATTAAACCATGGCAACATCTAATGTTTGTGTAGTATTATGTTCAGCAGACTGTGTTCTTCTATTGTTGTGACTTAGATGATGTTCAGAACCAATTTTATGCCCAATTCATGCAAAACTCCACGTAATCCCAAGGGGTTCACATACTTTTTCTTGCAACTGTACCTTAAATAAATAAATAAAATCTCAACATAAATTGGAGATCTACTACTTTGGAGTGCTGCCTGTTTTTGTTTATAGTGATTAGAGATGAGCGAATTATTCAAAAATTCGATTCGGCTGATTCGCCGAATTCGCGGAATAAATTCGATTCGAGGCGAATATATTCGCTGCGAATTTAACGTATAAAAAAGGGTGTTTCTAGGCTTCAGAGAGCCTTTATATTAGTGCAGAAACACTGTACCTTTAATTTAAATGCCCTTGGAGTCTGCTGGGGAAGAGAAATAATACTGTCAGTCAGTATGACATGCAGATGAGTGCCGTCGATCTTAGAATCACCGCACACTTCACTCATTTGGGCAGTCACGGGGCCAAAACCAGAGTGTGGAGCCACAGTGTGTGCGGTGGAGGCAGCAGCAATGGGAGGCCATACAGCACCCTATGACAAAATGGAAACCACCAGCAGTGTGAGGAGACCTGAAAGTGGCACATGGCAGAGTGTGGCGATGGAGACAGCAGCAATGGGAGGCCGTACAGGGACCCATGACACACTCTGGACCTGGCAGCAGCATGAGGAGGCGGTACAGGGGCCCATGACAGATTACGGGCCTGGCAGCAGCATGAGGAGTCGGTACGGGGGCCCATGGCAGATTACGGGCCTGGCAGCAGCAATGGGAGGCCATACAGCACCCTATGACAAAATGGAACCCACCAGCAGTGTGAGGAGACCTGAAAGTGGCACATGGCAGAGTGTGGCGATGGAGACAGCAGCAATGGGAGGCTGTACAGGGACCCATGACACACTCTGGACCTGGCAGCAGCATGAGGAGGCGGCACAGGGGCCCATGAAAGATTACGGGCCTGGCAGCAGCATGAGGAGTCGGTACGGGGGCCCATGGCAGATTACGGGCTGGCAGCAGCAATGGGAGGCCATACAGCACCCTATGACAAAATGGAACCCACCAGCAGTGTGAGGAGACTTGAAAGTGGCACATGGCAGAGTGTGGCGATGGAGACAGCAGCAATGGGAGGCCGTTACAGGGACCCATGACACACTCTGGACCTGGCAGCAGCATGAGGGAGGCGGTTCAGGGGCCCATGACAGATTACGGGCCTGGCAGCAGCATGAGGAGTCGGTACGGGGGCCCATGGCAGATTACGGGCCTGGCAGCAGCATGAGGAGGCGGTACAGGGGCCCATGGCAGAGTGGCGGAGCGTAAGCAGCTAAAATTGAAGGCCATACAGAGGTCTATGTTAAAAAGTCCCCCCAGCAGCAGCGTGGGGAGACGACTAATAGTCGTCTCCCCACGCTGCTGCTGGGGGGACTTTTTAACATAGGCCTCTGTATGGACTTCAATTTAAGCTGCTTACGCTTCGCCACTCTGCCATGGGCCCCTGTACCGCCTCCTCTTGCTGCTGCCAGGTCCAGAGTGTGTCATGGGTCCCTGTACGGCCTCCCATTACTGCTGACTTCATCGCCAGACTCTGCCATGTGCCACTTTCAGGTCTCCTTACACTGTTGGTGGGTTCCATTTTGTGATAGGGTGCTGTATGGCCTTTCATTGCAGCTGCCTCCACCGACACCCTGCGCCATGTGCCTCTGTCGTCTGCTCACGCTGCTGACGGCTTCCGCTTTTTAACCGAGGCCTGTGTTTGGCTTCCGAATACTGCTGCATCCACCGCCACCCTGCGCCATGTGCCTCTGTCGTCTGCTCACGCTGCTGACGGCTTCCGCTTTTTAACCTAGGCCTGTGTATGGCTTCAGAATAATGCTGCCTACACCGCCACCCCTGCGCCATGTGCCTCTGTCGTCTGCTCACGCTGCTGCCAGGTCCATACTGATTCATGGCCCCCTGTACCGGCTCCTCATGAACGTGGTTCAGCGGGTTTGCATCACTTAACGGCAAATCGTTGACAAACGCTGGGACGTTCAGTGTTGTGCGCATTAAGCCAGACACCAAAGGGCAGCACAGACCTGTTATTACTCGCTCAAGCATGGCTGAACAAAACCAGTCTCTCTACCACAAATTGGACCCAGACCTGCCCAGGGTCTCGTAAGTAGATTGCACGGAGGAGTAGAGTTTGTTATTGGAATTAACTGTGAGGGACTTTTAAACCTAGGCCTGTGTATGGCCTTCAATTGAAGCTGCTTCTGCTCCGCCACTCTGCCATTGGACTCTTGATAGTCTCTTCTACATGTGAATGCAGGGCTGGCACTGCCTTTTTGGCGAAGAAATGCCGGCTTGGCACTCTCCACCGCGGCTCGGCACAAGCCATCATTTCTCGGAAAGGTGCTGAGTCCACCACTTGGAAAGGGAGGGACTGCAGCACCAGCAACTTGGACAGGAGGACGTTCAGCTTCTGCACCGTCGGGTGCGTGCTCGCAAACTGTTGTCTCTTGGAAACGGATTCCAAGAAAGACTGCTGACGGAATCCGTGAAGAGGAGTAGCAGGAGAAGGAGCATCTGAACGAGCGGAAGATGCCAACGAGCGACAACTCCCCTCAGCAGAGGTGTTGGAGCCTTGACTGGCTGATAGAGGGCGATTGACGTCGGGTGATGGAGCAAGTAACGGAGCGGGTGATGGAGCGGGGGCTGGGGCAGGCAGAACCTCCGTATCTTTATCACGGTTTTCCCAGGCCACCGAATGGCGACGCTGCATATGCAACGCTGTAGTCCCAACATGGGCCCGGCCCCCTGGCCACGCTTGACTTTCTGGCCACATAGTCGACATACGGCTACATTTACTTCCTCGGGTGGCTTGCCAAAAAATTGCCACACCGCCGAGTAGGAAACTTTGCCCCCGCTACTCCTCACTGGGCTGACTGCTACTTCCTCCGTGCACACCGGCACCACTACTGGCCGTGGTGGTAGGCTGCAGTGGAGCTGGTGCTCTACTCCGTGGCCGTTTGCCTCCACTGACACTGCTGCGACCCTGCTGCCTCCTGGGCAACCCACCGACTGTTTTGCTCGCTGGCAAGCTGGCACCCTCTTCTCCTGATGATGCGGAAGCAATAGCCTGATGACGACAAGGCTGCCAAGTGCGATCAGCCTCATCATCATCAATTAGGGTCTCCGCGTCACTACTAGCCCCCTCGGCTGCGTGTGGGTCAGGAGACAGACCTGTCTCTAGACCGGCTACCGAGCCACTCTCCTCGCCAGTACTTCTTCGCCTGGCTGCTGAAGAGGCGCGGATGTCTCCCCCGTTCCTGACCGCCCTCTGTTAGCTCTTCCTCACTGTACAGTGGGGATGAGCCCACAGCATGCGATACTTCGCTTGGTGAGGGAACACCAAAGGACAGGGGCAGGTAGAGGACACGTGATTTCAGTGGGCTTGCTCCCGGGCCATGCCAACTAACGGTTGTGTCTGACGTACCCACCGACCGTTGGCTGTAGGTGTCAGAGGTGACCTGGGAAGAGGAAGACGACCGAGTCAACCAATCGATGACCGCAGGGTTGTCGGTGGAGACACGACCGCTGGATGACACCGGGAGCACTGGCCTCTGGCTGCGACTAGTGCTGCCTCGACCCCTTCCTCTGCTGCCACGTCTGCTCGCTCCTGAAACATTGCCTCCTCTGCCACTCATCTGCGTGTTGTCTGACATACTCTTTAATTCAATAGTGGTTGTGAAGCAGAAAGTAACGATTCTGTGTCCCTGAGTAACGATTCTGTGTCCCTGAGTAACGATTCTGTGTCCCTGAGTAACGATTCTGTGTCCCCGAGTAACGATTCTGTGTCCCCGAGTAACGATTCTGTGTCCCCGAGTAACGATTCTGTGTCCCCGAGTAACGATTCTGTGTCCCTCAGTAACGATTCTGTGTCCCCGAGTAACGATTCTGTGTCCCTCAGTAACGATTCTGTGTCCCTGAGTAAACGATTCTGTGTCCCCGAGTAACAATTCTGTGTCCCTGAGTAACGATTCTGTGTCCCTGAGTAACAATTCTGTGTCCCTGAGTAACGATTCTGTGTCCCTGAGTAACAATTCTGTGTCCCTGAGTAACGATTCTGTGTCCCTGAGTAACAATTCTGTGTCCCTGAGTAACGATTCTGTGTCTGTCCCTGAGTAACGATTCTGTGTCCCTGAGTAACAATTCTGTGTCCCTGAGTAACGATTCTGTGTCCCTGAGTAACAATTCTGTGTCCCCGAGTAACGATTCTGTGTCCCTGAGTAACGATTCTGTGTCCCTGAGTAACGATTCTGTGTCCCTCAGTAACGATTCTGTGTCCCTGAGTAACGATTCTGTGTCCCTGAGTAACGATTCTGTGTCCCTGAGTAACGATTCTGTGTCCCTCAGTAACGATTCTGTGTCCCTCAGTAACAATTCTGTGTCCCTGAGTAACAATTCTGTGTCCCTGAGTAACGATTCTGTGTCCCTCAGTAACAATTCTGTGTCCCTGAATAACAATTCTGTGTCCCTGAGTAACAATTCTGTGTCCCTGAGTAACGATTCTGTGTCCCTGAGTAACGATTCTGTGTCCCTCGGTAACAATTCTGTGTCCCTGAGTAACAATTCTGTGTCCCTGAGTAACTATTCTGTGTCCCTGAGTAACTATTCTGTGTCCCTCAGTAACAATTCTGTGTCCCTGAGTAACGATTCTGTGTCCCTGAGTAACAATTCTGTGTCCCTGAGTAACGATTCTGTGTCCCTGAGTAAGGATTCTGTGTCCCTCAGTAACAATTCTGTGTCCCTGAGTAACAATTCTGTGTCCCTGAGTAACGATTCTGTGTCCCTGAGTAACGATTCTGTGTCCCTGAGTAACAATCCTGTGTCCCTGAGTAACAATTCTGTGTCCCTCAGTAACGATTCTGTGTCCCTCAGTAACGATTCTGTGTCCCTGAGTAAGAATTCTGTGTCCCTGAGTAACAATTCTGTGTCCCTGAGTAACAATTCTGTGTCCCTGAGTAACGATTATGTGGCCCTAAAGTCTCTGTGGCCCTAACTCTGTCCCTAATACAGACAGGTCTGTCTCTCTTGAATGACCGGAGGCTAATGGAGAATTCTAAGATGGCCGCGATTTATAGCTCCACCATTACACAGTGCTGGCTGGCTGCTGATTGGCTAATGCGATCACATGTCATGAATGAATGCATTATGGGTCAGCGCGCCTTGTCTGCGCGCCTTCCCAGAGATCCCCGCTCCGTCGCCACACATGTCGCCGCCATTTTTGGGAAAATTCGATTCGTGCATCCGAAGTTTGCTAATTTTCGGATTCGGCGCGAATTGAATTTTTCCTAATCTTCTAAACGAATTCCACTTCGTCATGTTCGATTCGCTCATCTCTAATAGTGATGAGAACCTGATAAAATCTTTCCCACTTAATAAAAACCAACAAAAAAGGCTGAAGTTGGGCTTTTTTTTTTTTGTTTTTTTGTTGAATCACAACAAGAAATAACAGTTTCTGTAGTAATATAAAGGGTTTACAAAGTTTTTATGTTGCTCTTCTTGCAGGTGGATAATGCAAAGATGTATGCAGCCGGAGGTATAGCTATCGGTGTTGTTGGTGGTGAATTCTTGCAGTGGTAGCAACTGCAATAAGTCGACGGAAGCAAAGAAACGCTACAGAATAAGTTCATCATTCAACCAAAAATAATAAATGCACATCTTTATGCAGGTAAAAAAATGTGCATTTATTATTTTTGGCTGCAGGAACCTGTAAAGCTGGTGCCATGCAGGGCTCCTGCAGATCTGTCAGTATACAGGATGTACAGGATGTATGGGTAAGCAGATATACTGACAGGAAGATTCAACTAACTACCCTGGTGTTCCACAGCCCCTTTTTTTTTATATTAACAATTTTTATTAATTTTCACAAAGATTTATATACATACAAAAAACATCACAGGAGAGAGAGAGCACATTGATGGTGAGATCTGCATGGTTACAAACATAATAATGACATAAAGTTACATTGAGGAGGCCGTCAAAACTAAACATCTGTAGAAAGGCGGGAGTTCCACAGCCTTTTTAAGTTCACCTTTTGCAAATAAATAAATGCACATTTATTTGCAGAAAAAAAATGTTTTTGCAAATGGGCCAGCAAAGTATTGCAACGATTAGTGGACTGCGGATGCATTGTCAGGCTCCTGCAGACTCCTCCTCCAGCTCTGTCAGTACAGAGGTATAGGTTCTCAGTTGGAGAGCTGGTGGAGGTGTCAATAGACTATGTATGAGGATATC